GTCCTCCCCCCCCCCCCCCCAATGAAGCTGATCCCAAACACTTGAACTTGAGTCTGGTATGAAGAAGTTGACTGGCTTGTTACTTACACCATGGGCAGGCACGTTTGATATGTGGTTTGCAATATTTTAGTTTTGAACATATTCAGTAAAATATGTTTGAAGTTTTTTCAGGTGCCTGTTAAAGAGTACATCTTTAGCCTTTATCCAAATACTTAAGAAAAACATTTAGGAAAACTTAAGCAAGTTAAATTATATTTTTGGACTTCGTGACTCACTTCTTGCTTTCTGTGTCTTCCGAGGGAATTTGAGTGGGTGACTACTTAAAGCTTCGGAGAAGAGCAGCAATTTTACTATTTTGACGGTCTTTTGATCTTGGTTTTTTTAATTCCTAGGACGGCCATGTGGAAGTGGCAAGATTGCTTCTCGACAGCGGAGCTCAGGTGAACATGCCTGCTGACTCTTTTGAGTCTCCATTGACTTTGGCAGCCTGTGGCGGGCATGTCGAACTGGCAGCTTTGTTAATTGAACGTGGAGCTAACTTGGAAGAGGTAAACGATGAAGGATACACACCACTAATGGAAGCAGCTAGAGAAGGCCATGAAGAGATGGTGGCACTGTTACTTGGTCAAGGTAACTGTTGCGGTGCCTTCCATGGACTGTAATTCTATGGGCATCTGCATGTGTTTTTTTGGGGGGGGGGGGGGGTTATTTCGCAGCCTGCCCAGACGGCCTTGGAACGAGGCGGTGGTCCCCGGCGGAAGGGCGTGAATCGAGGGGTCGTTGCAGCCACTCAGTGCAGAAGTTGTACGAGCGATTGGGAAAGGACTCGGGTCCTTGGGGTGGGTTTGCGGGTTTTTTTAGTTTTCTTTTATGGTCTGGGGCTGGATTCTTTTGTTTGTTTGTTTAAAAAAAAAAAACCACCAACCAACCAACCAACCAACCACAAACCAACAAACAACAACAAACGAACAAACACACAAATAAAACAATTCTTTTTTACAAGAAGCAGACTGGGCCGATATCCACGCCAAACTCCTGCTCGGCTCCACCAATGTCCATAGGTGCAATATCTACAATGGGCAGGCGCGAGGTCTTCTGCGACCGGTACTCGATGACCGTCTTGCCCCATTTGCCAGTGTGTTTCTGGAGGGAAAACGAGGGGGGGGAAAAGGCGTTATTAGACCCTCCCGAGGCCTCCAAACCAACGGCAACCTCGTGGGTTGAACCCCAGCTCATCGCCTACGTCTCGCGCCCGCGGGCGCCCGCGGACTTACCGTGCAGCCGTCCTCCAAGACGCTGTACGTGAACCTGCTGTTGCCCTCGGCTCTGATCTCCACGTCGTTGGATCCCTGGATGAGGACGGCTTTCTTCAGGTTGCCCGTCTCCTCGTCCATGTAGGCGATGCTGTTCTTGCAGTGGTAAGTGACGTTCTGGGAGCCTTCGGTGGACAGGAGGCGGAGGAAGGTCATCTGGATGTTGGCGGTGTTGGGAGCCAGGTCTTCATCGCCGTAGCTAAACTGGAGGGAAGAGGCGAGACGTGAAAGCCTGCGGGTACCACAACCAGCCGCCTTCTGAGGGCACTTCCATACTTTACGCTCCTAGACGGCTGCAAAAATCAAAGCCCAACTGACCCAACTCCCAGCTTTCAATACAGCCCTCTAGAACAGCCAGCCCCCCCCCCGTACGACGTCCATCAACGTAACCCCAAGGAAGGACATCCCAAGCCTCCAACCAGACACCCACCACCGTCCCCGGCTCAACCTCCCTCCCCGCTCCCGGTATGCAGCACCCAGCCCGGGGGGGACGCTTACGTGGAAACCGCCGTTAATGGTCTCTGCGAACCAGACGTGCTTCTTGTCTTTGGTCTTGCTGGTCCACCAGTTCTTCTTGGGGATGCTGCTGGGGTTGGGGTAGACGCAGGTCTCGCCCGTCTCCATGTTGCAGAAAACTTTGATGGCGTCCAAGGTGCAGCCCTGGTTCGGGTCGATCCAGTAGTCTCCTGCAGCGGGGAGGACAAACGGTGCGAGAACGTGAGGGTTTTGGAGGTCAGAGCAAAGAGTGTCGTGGACCTCTTGGGGCCAGGGGAGAGGAACAGGAGGGGAGGAGGCAGGGACGGAGGCCCTTACCG